TTTTACTTTCGGATTATTCGATTTTTGAATTTTCGTTTTTTTTTTCATTTTTCGATTTCCGATTTTTTCATTTTTCGATTTTTTGGTTTTTTAATTTGTCGATTCTCGATATTCCGATTTTCGATTTTTCGATTTTCCAATCTTCGATTTTTCAATTTCCAGTTTTCGATTTTCCACTTTTTGATTTTACGATTTTTCGATTTTTCTGTTGGTCAGTTTTTAGGCTTTGCAATTTGTTTACTTTTCGATTTTTCGATTATTTTACTTTCCAGTTTTTTGATTTTTGAATTGTCGACTTAGAGTTTTCAATATTATGAATTTTCGAATTTTCGGTTTTCCTATTTTTCGATTTTTGATTTTTCCATTTTTCGGTTTTTTGATTTTTCAATTCTCGGTTTTTCAATCTTGCAAATTTTCGATTTTTCAGATTTGTGAATTTCCAGTTTTTCGATCGACCTACGTATTAGATTCATTGAATTTTCGATTTTCGGTTTTTCCATTTTTAGATTTTTGATTTTCCAGTTTTGCATTTTCAGATTTTCTGTTTTTCGCATATCTGATCTATCAAATTTTCGATTTTTCGGCTTTTCGATTTTTCGATATTTGATTTTCGAATTTTCCATTGTTCAGTTTTCCATATTTCAGCTTTAGATTTTACAAATTTTCGAGTTTCAATTTTCAGATTTTTGATTTTTCGATTTTCTTTTTAAATCTTTGAATTTTCAATATTATGAATTTTCGAATTTTCGGTTTTCCTATTTTTCGATTTTTGATTTTTCATTTTTCGGTTTTTTTATTTTTCAATTCTCGGTTTTTCAATCTTGCAAATTTTCGATTTTTCAGATTTGTGAATTTCCAGTTTTTCGATCGACCTACGTATTAGATTCATTGAATTTTCGATTTTCGGTTTTTCCATTTTTAGATTTTTGATTTTCCAGTCTTGCATTTTCAGATTTTCTGTTTTTCGCATATCTGATTTATGAAATTTTCGATTTTTCGGCTTTTCGATTTTTCGATATTTGATTTTCGAATTTTGGATTGTTCAGTTTTCCATTTTTCAGCTTTAGATTTTACAAATTTTCGAGTTTCAATTTTCAGATTTTTGATTTTTCGATTTTCTTTTTAAATCTTTGCATTTTTCGGTTTTGATTTTTCGAATTTTTGATTTTTAATTTTTCCATTCTTCGGTTTTTAGACTTCAATTTTCTTTCTTTTAAATTTTTCGATATTCTATTTTCCGCTTTTCAGAATTTTCGATTTTCAGTTTTCAGACTTTCGATGATTGGAATTTTGGATTTTTCAGTTTTATGATTTTTCGAAAATTTGAGTGGTCGAATTTTCGATTTTTTAATTCATAGATTTTTCTATGTTCAATTTTTCAATTTAAATTTTGCGATTTTCAATTTGTCCATTGTCGATTTTTAGAATTTTCGGTTTTTCAATTTTTCCATTCTCAACTGTTAGACTTCAATTTTGTTACTTTCCGATTTTTTGGTTTTCGATTTTCCAATTTTCAGAATTTTCAAGTTTATTCAGATTTTCCATTTTCCACTTTTTCGATTTTAGATTTTTCGAATTTTTGTTTTTCCAATTTTTTGCTTTTTCGATTTTTCTGTTCGTTTCAGCTTTTAGACTTTGCAATTTTTTTTACTTCATATATTTTGATTATTTTACTTTCCGATTTTTTTGATTTTTGAATTCTCGATTTTACGATTTTAATCATAAAATTTTTCGATTTTTCGGTTGTTTTATTTTTCGACCTTCGATTTTTCAACTTTCGATTATTCGATTTTCCATTTTCTGATTTTACGATTTTTCGATTTTCGTTTTTCCGCTTTTGTGGTTTTTCGATTTTTCTGTTTGTTTCAGTTTTTAAGGTTCTGCAATTTGCAGCTTTTAGATTTCAATTTTGTTAATTTTCCGATTTTCCACTTTTCGATTTTTTGATTTTTTTTCGATCGTATCGTTTTTTCGATTTTCATTTTTTTCCATATTTCAGCTTTAGATTTTACAAATTTTCGAGTTTCAATTTTCAGATTTTTGATTTTTCGATTTTCTTTTTAAATCTTTGAATTTTCAATATTATGAATTTTCGAATTTTCGGTTTTCCTATTTTTCGATTTTTGATTTTTCATTTTTCGGTTTTTTTATTTTTCAATTCTCGGTTTTTCAATCTTGCAAATTTTCGATTTTTCAGATTTGTGAATTTCCAGTTTTTCGATCGACCTACGTATTAGATTCATTGAATTTTCGATTTTCGGTTTTTCCATTTTTAGATTTTTGATTTTCCAGTCTTGCATTTTCAGATTTTCTGTTTTTCGCATATCTGATTTATGAAATTTTGGATTGTTCAGTTTTCCATTTTTCAGCTTTAGATTTTACAAATTTTCGAGTTTCAATTTTCAGATTTTTGATTTTTCGATTTTCTTTTTAAATCTTTGCATTTTTCGGTTTTGATTTTTCGAATTTTTGATTTTTAATTTTTCCATTCTTCGGTTTTTAGACTTCAATTTTCTTTCTTTTAAATTTTTCGATATTCTATTTTCCGCTTTTCAGAATTTTCGATTTTCAGTTTTCAGACTTTCGATGATTGGAATTTTGGATTTTTCAGTTTTATGATTTTTCGAAAATTTGAGTGGGCGAATTTTCGATTTTTTAATTCATAGATTTTTCTATGTTCAATTTTTCAATTTAAATTTTGCGATTTTCAATTTGTCCATTGTCGATTTTTAGAATTTTCGGTTTTTCAATTTTTCCATTCTCAACTGTTAGACTTCAATTTTGTTACTTTCCGATTTTTTGGTTTTCGATTTTCCAATTTTCAGAATTTTCAAGTTTATTCAGATTTTCCATTTTCCACTTTTTCGATTTTAGATTTTTCGAATTTTTGTTTTTCCAATTTTTTGCTTTTTCGATTTTTCGGTTCGTTTCAGTTTTTTGACTTTGCAATTTTTTTTACTTTATATATTTTGATTATTTTAATTTCCGATTTTTTTAATTTTTGTTTTTGATTTTTTTAATTTTCAATATTACAAATTTTTGGCTTTTCGATTTTTTGGTTTTCCCGTTTTTCAATTTTCGATTTTTCGATTTTTGAGGTTTGTGGATTTACACTTTTCGATCGACCTAGGTATTTGATTCATTGAATTTTCGATTTTTTGATTAGCCATTTTTAGATTTTCGATTTTTACGATTTGTATTTTTCGATTTTCTGTTTTTTGCATTAGTGAATTTCAGTTTTTCCGATTTTTGATTTTGCGCATATTTGATTAATCAAATTTTCGAAAAAGTTACCATGCTTACAAAAACTTCAAAACATCTACAATATTTCAAAGTATTCAGTTTTGCTATTCTTGATTTCTTCAATAAAATAAATTGACTCAGTCATTAACTTTTTTGGGACACCATGTATAACCAAATCTAAAAAATATTAATGCAGTGATAAATCACAAGTATAAAACTCATCATATTTTATACATTTAAGATAGGATTTATTCTGCAAAATTTTGAGGTGACGTCATACATTTTTTAGAGGGGATAAGCAAATATATTTTAATTAATATTGTATCATGTTTATCAAGATTTTCAAACATCTGCAAGATTTCAAAGTATTCGATTTTGCAAATTCAAAATTAACTTGCAAAATATTGTTTTATAATTTTAATTTTTTTTCCAAAAATCTGGACGTTTTGGATAAAAACTCAACACGGAGTCATAAACTACATGTGTAGGACTATGTTACTGTATACAATTTAAAACCCATTTACTATGCATAAATTTGAAGTGACGTCATCACATTATTGGTGGGGATGATTAGACAAATTTAATAATTTTGCGACATTTATGAAAAAAATATCAGTTAACAAAAATGGCACGTTTTTATTATTATGCCAGTTACATGTCACTCAACGACAATATCGTTTTTTTTAAGAGTATTTTATTTGAAAAAGTGATGAAATTTTTTATACGGAACAATTGGTCGAAAGATGTTAGAAAGCAAAGTACCTAATTCATGTCCGGACTTCACGGTTCATGTTAGGATTTTAATCATTAACTGGTTCTAACACAATTTTTCCCCTTTGGCAGTTATCCTGATCATCCGGATGTCATCGAGACGAGGGAAATTACACCATTGAGACGTAATTCTAGCGACGACATAAGATTTGAGATAAGCTGTGGACAGTCAACGATATAAACTCGAAAAGCTAAATGTTTTTAAGTAACCAGCCACTTGGATCAGTGCACAGTTAAACATCATGTAAATTCTTTGTTTGAATCGTTGATAAAGTGTGGCAAATATTAACCTCATGTAACTTTGTTAGCTTTGCAATTTTTCTCTATCTCGCAATTTTAGCCTCGGGAATTTTCTTTGTTTTATGATTTAAATTTTTTTTTGTCTACACAAGTTTTACTTCACACCGCATGTTTTTTTTTTGTTTTTATAAATCTTTGCTAGTTATTTCTACCACGTAAATATTTTGTTGAATGCTTCCATCATATAAATTGTCTGATGTCCAACCTTAATCTCAGATAAGAATTCATTGTTGTTTAAAATTTCACGAGAAGGTATGGCGAATTTAAATGTTGTTTATTGCTCTTTTTGAAACTTTAACACTTGTCCGGTTCTAGTTTAATACCAGAGTTATCGAAAGTAAACATTTAATCAAAGGGTAATTGAGGTGAATAACACAGGAACACGTGGCAGAAGCGGAGAGCGCGGTTCCTTGTCGAGCTGGCGAGATTTATAGCTCCATCTGCACGAAAGACGCGGATCTTAAACAGAAGTTAGGGAAGTGGTCGGTATGACGAGGAATCGATAGTTTTGTTCAATTCTTAAAATGTTATTTTGTACCTCAGAATATATCTACTCCTAAAAATTGAGCATTTACCGATTTTATTCGATGTTCAATAGAAAAAATAAGTTTTCCTAAACAACATTAAAAAAACATAGTCACAGTTCCAATTGGGAGAAATTTTATGGATGTGAAATAAAACTACAATTTATAAATCATGAAGTATAATTATTTTTAAAATTTAAAAAAATAACAACGAAGCATGCAACAATTGACGTTTTGTGTCTGAATAAGATTTAATCTAAAATAAAATGTTATACAAATTTAAATGGATAATTAATGTATATGATCCTATGTACAAAACATGAGACAAAGTAATAAAATGGTTGTTTTCATTTACATTCAATAAGATTTAATCGATATAGCTTTATAAATTGAAACTGTGATATTTATCAAATACTTAAAAATATATACATAAAAATAATTAATTGACCGCTACATCGAACAAATCAAATCAGCTAAATTCTATTAAACATGACTTAGGTCCACTTCCAAGTATGATTTTCACACTTTATACTGACTACAGAAAAATAATCGAATATACAAAACTGTCTTTTTTAAATAAATCTTACATAAAGTAGTCAGTACTCCTAAAATCCTCTATAAAAAAAATCACTTGAGCAATGAAAAGCTATAAATTTGACTAACAAATAATTATTTTTTAACAAAAGTTGTTTAATTCTAAAATTCTGACACTAGATAATTGACCATGAACACATGTTACTTATTGATAACAGAATAGTCGTAGTAATGTTAGCTGAAAAATTTATCGCATGTTTCGGAAAATGCAAGTGCATGTTTGTCTCGGGAAACATTTATCTCATGATTGATAAAAAATCTTGATATGTTTTTCCTGCAGAAATATTTGTCAGCCAAATTTAACAAATTTTTGAAAATATAACATTCCTTGTATGTGATTAAAACAGCACCAAGACTATTAACATACCTGTATAGATACTAATGTAAAGATGTGCAAAACGATTGGATTTCACAGACATATTTATTTGCTTTACAACATTTTAAATTGAGATTCAGTAATTAAAACGGCTTTGGTCTACATAAACACTATCATATTGAAGGGAGTTTTAATTAATAAGAGAGCCATTTAGAACATGTGTATGATATACGGATTTAGCGTCTACGGAATTCTTACATTGTCCAATTAAATAGTTTCATTTTTGCCACGTATATTAATGACTCACATTTTTCAGTTATTATTAACAAACAAATTATAAAATTTAAGTATCAGTTAAGTATGGACAATATAAAAATATTATTCCCCTTACATAAATCTTGTGCGTTTCTATCCTAATCTATACAATCCAGTCCAAATGAATGAAAAATAATAATAATAACGAAATTTTAATTTAATTAACTTGTAGAAAAATCTAAAATAAAAAAATTAAATAAAAATTTCAAGTACTTCAACATTATATTTTCGTATATAAAATAAAAATGACTGCAAAAATTATATTGCACTAAAGTGTCACTCTTAAAAAGACTAAAGATAATTAGCTATCTATTTTACACAACACTAACAAGTTTTAAAACGACGATTTCCACGAGTTATAAAAAAATTTAAATGTACAAAGAAACCATCTTTTTAAAAGTTTCAATCCGAATTACGATAAACTTAGAAACTAAATAAACTTATATTTGTACAAACACCTATAAACCTAGTTCTAACAGATTTGTTTATCTAATCATATGTATATGTAAAAAAAATCTGTTGACGTTTTCATTATAAAATTTATGTGCTTAATTATATCTATGCATAAAGAATTTACTAAAGAAACCAAAGTTGTGAAAGTATGATAAACTTCCAAAATTCGTTTATAACAGTCTTCAACTGTTTGTCAGTCTTTCAAAAAATGTTCCTATATTTTCCAAATCATTGTAATTGCAAGCTAATAATATCAAAAAACAGTTGTTTTTCTTTGAAAATTTTACAAAATAAAAATCTAAACATGAAATACCATTGTAGGTCTTGCTTTCCATGTGTAATGTTGGCCACGCTTCTGGAAAAGTCACTAAATCTAACGATCACACTTATAATAGTTCATATTTCAGATAACACAAATTTAAAAATTCTTGAATTATTTGAAATGCTCTTACAATGCCTTTTGACAATAAGAACCTACAGAATATTTGGCAGTGCATTTCTGAAACGAAAATGTTACATAATAGACGAGACTTCGTTCAGTGTCTTACCACTGTTATGAACGATTTAATCGAAAACCATCTTCCACACCGTCGGGTATAAGACTCATTGTAGGGTCCGTCAACATCTGCAGCTCATCAAAATTCAAAGGTTCGAGGCTTTCACGCAATGATTCTTCCGAGAAAAAATCGTTTTCCAATTGTTTGTTCAAATCTTGCCTTGATATTTCGTCGGTCGCGGATGAAAAATCTGAAAGACAAAACAATAAAGAATCAGAGATTAATAAATGGTTTTCAATAAACGTCAATATTTAAGTGTAGCAAAAATACAAAAAAGGTGCTTGATAATAAAGTAAACGTAAATCTTTACCTGTCAATATAATATCTGGTATGCTGGTCGGAGTATTTGGTGTAGTGTGCAGACTTGGCGGGTAAACAAGTTGTGATGGTGACGTGCTATAATACCCTGGATCAGACGTTAATTCTATGCTGCCCACAGTGGAAACTTCTGGCGCTGTTTGGCTATGTGTTTGTGTTAACTGTCCAGAAGGCTGTTCTACATATGATACACTACTAACAGGCGGGTCCAACTAACAACATACAAATAGTGTCAGTGCGATCTTAAATAAGAATAAAACGGGATTTCTATATCGCTAAAAACTGTAACCTACGTTGTGTAGAAATATCTAGCGCTAACGCACTTTTGTTTGAGGAAGTACACACGTAGGTTCAGCCATTTTTTTAAAACAAATGATCAATGTACATGAAACATCTCTAACAATAAAGAAGCAGATAAAAACCATTTCAACTTTTGTTACTTAAATTATTTGCTATATTTTTTATCCACTTCTTGACATTTTATTATTTTTTTATCATTTCAATCTAACAGTTAGATAGCAAATAACTATATTACATATAATTATATAATTTACATTTTCCACGATTTTTTTAACATCTAACTGCTCATCAATAAAATAACAATAAAATATTCCCAAAGTAATGATATGACAATTTAAATATATATAGTAAGACTGATAGATCATGCTAGAAACACTGTAGTTCTTATGAAATGCATCTAAAAAATGTTCCTTAATATTTCTGATGTAATATGAGCTAACGCTAACACAATCATCCTGTTATAAAGTTGATGTTCAGTTTTGTAAAAGATTTTTAGAAATACACTCTGTCTTTTAACGATTATTTAAAAAATATTGGTTTTGTATACCAAAGACTCCGAAGAATTGACAGATTGAAGAATACAGACAGATGCCTCGTCCCCTTATGTAGACAGAGCAACCTCAATTTGTGGGGCGGAGCCTAATTGCAAAATCCATATTTCGTTATACAAATTTTCCATTTTAAACATGTTTCAATTTCATGTTGTGAAAAGAAGTCGACACATATTAAAACAAAAAGGCAAAATGTAAGCCCGCCCACCCGCCCTGTCTCAATTGTGATGATTCTTTTTATTCGCCGTCAACCAAGAGGGCGGAGCATAACTGCAAAATACTTATTTCTTTACAAAAAATTGAAAACATGTTTTTGAGTATCGTGTTGTTCAAAGAATGCTATGTATATTAAGACAAAACGGCAAAATACAAACCCCGCCCACCCACCCCATCCCAATCCTGATAATTTTTTTATTTTTAGTAACTTAAAACATGTTTAAAATGGTAAATTTTTGTAAAGAAATTAGGATTTTGCATATTGGCTCCGCCCCTTGGTCAGGCTACGAATGAAAACTTCATTACTATTTAGATCAGGGCAGGTATGGGTGGGGCTTAATCTTTGGCTTTATTTTTTTCTTAATATACATAATTTAGGATTCTTTAAATAACACAATACTTAAAAACATGTCTTATATCGTAGTTTCTTGTAGAGAAATAATAAGAGATTTTGCACTTAAATTCCGCCCCCTTGGCTGACGACGAATAAAAAAAATTATCAGAATTGAGACAGGGTGGGTGGGCGGGGCTACATTTTGCCTTGTTTTTTCAATGTGTGTTGACTTATTTAGACAACAAGAAACTTAAAACATGTCTAAAAGGGTAAATTTTTATAGTAATTAACTTAAATCTTCCATTTTTCTTCTACAGCCTCGTTAAATATGGCAAAAGTTGAACATCAAAGTTACTATCAACGCCAATTTGGCAACGGAGTTTATAAATGACAATTTTCAGCCTTAAAAGCGACGTCAGCGGAAACTTCAACGTTAACAGCAAGTTTATAAAGCATACATTAATTTCCGCACCCGTGCCGACCAATCACAAGAAAGTACATCGGCTCTAAATTCAAACTGGCCCAAAGTCGCATCGATTTTTGAAGTTTTTAAAATTCTTAGCTTTTCGATTTTAGGATTTCTCAGTTTTTCGATTTTTATTTTGGAGTTTTTGCATTTTTTAATTTTTTGTTGTCGATTTTTCAGTTTCTCGATTTTTATTTCGTCAGTTTTTTCAGGTTTTAATATTATAATTTTTCGATTTGACAGTTTCTCGTTTTTTCGATTTTTCCATTTTAAGATACTTTTATTTTTTGATTTTTTCGTTATCCGATTTTTTACTTTCGCTATTTTTTCAACATTTCGGTATTTCAATTTTTTTATTGTTCAATGTTTCGCTTTTTTCAATTTTTCAGTTTTCGATTTTTTTAATTTTACAGTTCTTCGATGTTTATTTTGGTATTCTTCAACTTTTGAATTTTACAATTTGTCGATTTTTAATTAATCAGTTTTTCCATTTTACAGTTACTTTTTTTTAATTTTTCAAATTTTCAGTTGTTTTTTTAGTTATCGAAGTTTTCAGTTTCTCAAGTTTTAAGATTACAATTTTTAAATTTCTCGGTGTTTCGAGTTTCGTTTTTACTATTTTTGATTTTCAAATTTGCAATTGTTCGATTTTTCTGTTTTTAAATTTTCAGTTTTTTCATTTTTAAGGTTACAATTTTTTTTCCAATTGTTGACCTCTTTACTAACTATTCGATTTTGAGTTTCTTTATTTTTGCAGTTCTTCGATTTCTCAATTTTTACGAGTAAATTGTTCGGTTTTTCAGTGTTTCTTTTCGATTTTTCGGTTTTTAATTTTTTGATTTTTCAATTTTTCAGTTTTACAATTTTCAGATTTTTTGATTTTTAAAATTTCACTTTTAATAAGTTTGTTTTTTTGTTGAAAAATTAAGAAAACGAAAAATTAAAAATAAAGTATTTCCAATTATGTAATTCCAAGTTGTTTCGTTTCTTCGATTTTTTATTTTCTCAATTCGAAATTTTCTAATTTTTGTTTTCTTTTATGTTAATTTTTCCATTTTTCCGTGTTTTGTTCTCGATTTTTTAGTTTTTCGATTTTCATTATGATTTTTATTTTTCAGTAAGATTTTTGTAAGTTTCGATTTTTTAATTTTGCGATTTTCCAAGTTGCTTTTTAATTTTTCGATTTTCCATCTTTTTACAATTTTTCGTTTATTCGATTTTTCAATTTCTCAATTTTTAATTTATCACATTTTCAGGTTTCAATGTTACAAAATTTTCGATTTTGCGTTTTTATTTATTTTTTTTCTCACTTTTTTCAAATGATTATTAGGGTTTTTATTCAATTTTTGGCTTTTCCATTTTCCGATTTTTCAATTCTTCGATTTCTCGGTTTTTAAATTTTTCGGTTTTTCAGCGTTTCGTCTTTTCGATGTTACAATTTTTCAATTTTCCCACGCTTCTTTTTTACAATTTCTTAATTTTTTAGTTTTTCAGTTTTCATTTTAAAATTTTTGGATTTTGAAATTAATTGTTTTTTGTATGTATTTTTGATTCTTTCGTTTATGTTTTTCGTTTATTCAATTTTTCACTTTCTCGATTTTTAATTAATCAGGGTTTTCACGTTTCAATATTACAACTTTTCGATTTTTCAATTGTTTTTTCAATTATCCCGTTGTTCAATTTCTCAATTTTTTCATTTTTTAATTTTTCAATTTTTAAATTTTTCTATATTTCAAATTTAATTTTTCAGTTTGTAAGTCTCATTTTTTCGGTTTTTTGAAGTTTTCTTTAGTTTTTCAATTCTTCGATTTCTAAATTTTTTGATTTTTCAATTCAATTCAAAATTTCGGTTCGAATAAATTTGTCCTTTTGATGAACAATTAAAAAATGACAAACCGAAAAAATGAAGAAATAAAAATCGAGAATTTGAAAAATTTTATATCAAAATTTGCAGAATTGCTTTTTTTGTCGATTTTTCAATTTTTCGGTTTTTAATAATTGTTTTGTTTTTTGTTGTTTCAGTGTTTCAATTTTCCGGTTTTTCAAAAGTTCAATTTGAATAAATTTGTCCTTTGTGAACAATTAAAAAATGAAAAATCGAGAAATCGAAAAACTAAAAATCGAAACTTTGAAAAATTTTATATCGAAAAATTGCAGAATTGTTTCGTTTTGTCGATTTTTCAACTTCTCGATTTTTAATTAATCAGGGTTTTGAGGTTTCAATATGTATTACAATTTTTCTATTTTTCAATTTTTCGATATTCCAAGTTTCATTTTAAAATGTTTGGATTTTGAAATTATTTTTTTTGTAGTTTTGATTATTTAATTTATAGAAATTTTTGTTTTTCGTTTTTTCAATTTTTCAATTTCTCGATTTTTAATTAATCAGTTTCAGGTCTCTATATTACAATTTTTGGATTTTTCAATTTTAAAATTTTTCGATATTTCAAATTTCATTTTTTAATTTTTGATTCTCATTTTTTACGTTTTTTTTTTAATTTTTCTTTATTTGTTCAATTCTTCGATTACTCAATTTTTAAATTTTTTGATTTTTAAGTTTTTCAAAATTTCGGTTTGAATAAATTTGTCCTTTTGCTGAACAATTAAAAAATGAAAGATCGGGAATTTGAGAAATATATCGAAAAATTGGAGAATTGTTGCGTTTGGTCGATTTTTCAATTTCTCGATTTTTAATTGTGCATTTTTTAATGTTTCGGTGTTACAGTGATTCGATTTTGCAAAATTTTATTTTGATTCAAATTGGAAATCAAGAACTCGAAACTTTAAAATTGAAAAATTGCAAAATTGTTTCGTTTTTCGACTTTTTGATGTTTCAATTTTGGATTTTTTATTTTTTCGTTTTTCCACTTTTTCAATTACCGATTTGGCTATTTTATTTTTAACTTTTCTATGTTTTTACAATGTTTCAGTGTCTCGATTTTCATTTTGAAATTTTTGGATTTTTCATGTAAAAATTTTGTATTCTTCATTTTCTCAATGATACAATTTTCCGATTTTTCAATATTTTAGTTTAGAAAAATTTGTTCTTTTGCTGAAAAATAAAAAACACAAAATTTAAAAATTAAAAAACTAAAACTGGAGAATCTGTAAAATTAACAAATCGGTCCCAATTAAAAAAATGCTCCCACCCAATAATAAATATGTATATATAAAAAAAAAACCTACGCCAAAAATCATTTACTCCGCAAGAACTCGCGTCTACAAAACTGAAGAATAATATAAGAATTGACAGATTGAAGAATATAGACAGATGCCTCGTCCCTTATGTAGGCAGAGAAACCTCAATTTGTGGGGGGGGCCTAATTGCAAAATATATATTTCGTT